CAAAACTCAACCAAATGACCATTTATGAACGTAAAAACAACCTATATGAACATTCTAATCTTTAGATATATCTACGGGCTTACCTTGAAGCGTAAGGGAGGTTTTGAAGATTTTCCGGCGAACCTTCCGGCGACTCTATCTCACTGCTCCGGCGACCTCACACAAAGATGACAGCACTACTGCACTCTACTCTCAACAAGGAACAATATAGAAGGAAGAATGAGTTGTTTTGGTGATGAAATGAGGGAGTTGGGTTGTCCTTAAATAGCCAAGTGAGGAAGGAAGAAGACATGGGTTGCAGCTTCCGTGATTGAGCGACGATTTGGAATCGGCGTAATTGAACAGGGCGTCGTTTGGTGTGTAGTCCCTGATTGAGACTAATTTTGGTCCCAGTTGGGGTACACTTTTTGTTCCAACTTTCTCCAAATTGAAATCCGATTGAACCGTTGGGATCAGACAGTCAAACTCTACATAATGATATGATTTTCATTATTTATTGACAAACTTTAGAATTTACTTATTTTTGGGTCCTTCTCAGTAATTAATTAATTATAAATTAATTAACTCTAATAGGCTTTTTTTGGGGCGTTACATTTCTCTCCCCCTTAAAATAATTTCGTCCTCGAAATTACCTGAGTCATTGGTTGAAGAGATTCGGATATTGCATCCTCATTGACTCTTCGGTTTCCCATGTTGCCCCTTCAGTCGAGTGATTCCTCCATAGCACTTTGACTAAGGGTACAGATTTGTTTCTCAATTGTTTGACCTCTCGTGCTAAAATTTTTACAGGTTCCTCTTCATAAGTCAATTGTTCGTCAAGAGTTACAATTCCCTCAGTCAAGATATGCGATGGATCGGAAGGGTATCTTTTCAACATCGATACATGGAATACCTCATGGATCTTGTTCAATTCTGGTGGAAGTTCTAACCGATATGCTACTGGACCCACACGTTCAGTGATTCGATAGGGTCCAATATATCTCGGACTTAGTTTTCCCTTCCTACCAAAACGTAGCACTTTCTTCCACGGTGAGACTTTCAGAAACACCTTGTCATCAACATCATATTCGATCTCCCGACGTTTTAAGTCGGCATAAGATTTCTGTCGATCGGAAGCCACCTGCAGTCTTTCTCTGATTAGACGAACCTTCTCTTCAGTTTCGTGAACAAGATCAGGTCCTTCAAGCTTTTGCTCGCTTAATTCTGTCCAGCATACTGGGGTTCTACAGCGTCTCCCATATAAGGCTTCGTACGGGGCCATTTGGATACTCGCTTGATAACTGTTGTTATACGCGAACTCCATTAGCGGTAAGTATTGTTCCCAGTTGCTTCCAAAATTAATTACACATGCTCTCATCATATCTTCAAGAATTTGAATTGTCCTTTCAGATTGTCCGTCAGTTTGAGGATGAAATGCCGTACTAAAGTTAAGTTTAGTACCTAAGGCTTTCTGCAAACTCTTCCAGAATTGCGACGTGAATCGCGGGTCACGATCAGAAATGATAGACAAAGGTACACCATGTAATCTTACAATCTCACGGATGTACAACTCTGC